TCTCCAGCACTGACACCATTGTTCACTTATTTATTAAAATCCAGATGATGCTTTTCTCAAGCTATTCCCCTCCAGTGTTTTGTTTTCCCTGTTGTCATCTCAATGGTTTTTGAAAATGCTGCTCTGTGGCTGTTTCTAAGCTTTTGATCTAGTGCAATTGCAGCAAAATCCTTTCAGGCAACACTCCATAAACGCAGAATTTTCCATTCTGCCGTTCTCCAAGTCTGCTGTTTTACAAACCTCTCAGAGGCCAGTGGGAGTCAGTTCTGGAAGGAAGAGCCCCAACCCTTCTCCTGGCTTGGGGAAAGAGCAGTGGGACTCTCTGACCTCCATGAGACTTCAGTCCCCATCCTTTCCCAGCTGGTGGTAGGGAGGAGGAGGTGGGGCCTTACTTCCACTGCACACCTTTCAGGGACAGTCCCAGATTTACAGAAGGCATCCCGGTTTCTGATTTGGTCCCCAAATGTCCTGCTTTTCCTTAGGATGTCCCTATTTTCATCAGAGAAATGTTGGAAGGTATGGAGTTATGCGACCCCTGAGCCATCTGAAGGCAGCCCTGTAGAGGGGAGCTTTTTAAATGTTTAATGCTTTATCATGTTTTTATATATGTTGGAAGCCACCCAAAGTGGCTGGAGCAACCCAGTCAGATGGGCGGAGTATAAATAATAAAATTATGATGCTGGTGGAATAGGATGTCCCTCTTTTCATTGGAGGAATATTGGAAGGTATGCCACTGTCGTCATATTGGGCCTTGAGGGCAATGATGCTCAGTGTTTCTTTATTTAACAAAATTTATATACAAGGTGGAGGGAGAGAGAGAGAGAGAGAGAGAGAGAGAGAGAGAGAGAGAACAGAAAAGAGTTTGGCTCAGAATCAAGATTTCCTCCCTTTGCTCCATCTTTTCATTCCCCCCCCCCCTTTCTCAGCCTTGGTTTGGAGAGAGCCCTTGAATTGTGCTAGCAGAATCTCGTTTCTTTTTCTTTCTCTTTTCTCCAACGCATATTGTGTGTAATTGGTAGCAGCTGTGATTTTTAGCACTGAAACTCGGAATTAGGAGGTCAGAAGAACCAGAGGCTATTTGGGGGGACGGGGGGGGGCAGCTGTTCCCACATGCTGGATTTCTGGGGAAAATAATGTTATATTTCACATTTATGCTCCCATCCTAAACACATTTTCTTTGAAATGTTGAATTTGAAGGAGCAACTTGCACATAAACATGCTTAGGAATTGGCAGCTTATTTTATTTTTCAACCAAGAGTCTTGTAACACCATCATTCTCCAGTCTCCAATCACAATTTCTTGGAGCAAACAGAAGTGTGTTTTCCCCTGACAGAGCAACTGAATGTATGTCTACTAAGAAGCAAGTCCCATTGAGTTCTGTTGAGTATAGAATTCTAGTCTATGTTTCACACATCACTCATTTCCTGAGGGTGCATTTAGCACCCAGAACACCTTGAGAGGCATGCTTAAGCCACAAATTCCATGACTCCCTGACAGGTTTGTAAGCCCAAAATTCGCACCTCATAACACACACTTTTATTTATTTATTTGAATATTTCAACTCCACTTCCTCCCCAAAGATTGTTCAAGGAAGCTGACAACAACAACAGAAATCTTACCAAGCCAACCATCCTCCTTTCCATCCTTTCCAGCATCTCAAAATGTAGTGGATTGTTCCTAAATTAAACCCTGAAGGAAGCTTCCAATAAGTCTGAAATCAATAAAAATATGCCCCCTGTTCCCTTTGCCTGAATGTAAAAGATGCAAGAGGACATTGTTCCTGCACCTTTAATAGTTCTGTAGAAGAGGGAGTGTCGTGCAAGTTACGCCTGCTGAAATCATCTCTTTTTCATTCAACCACCATGCCCTAATGCCTCTCTTTGCCATCGTCTGAATGACCCCATCTCCCTCAGATGCTCATGCACAGATTAAGTGCATAATAGCGGCGTGTAGGCCTTGGTGAGAGGCCTTCCAAAAAGGAAAAAAGAGGAGAGTTTGAGGAGGGAGTGCTACAGATCCTCACCCACAAAAACAGGGGGAGAAGGCTATGAGAGCTTACGTTCTCTTCCCCATGCCAGGTCTATCAGCAGCTGAGCCTGTAGGGAACTGCCCTTCGTTGGTGACAATAAAGAAAGGCATTTTGAAAACTACCTTTCCTTCATGGGACCACAGGTGGGAGAGCTTGAGCTACCTGTAGGTTCTGGTGGCATCAACGGTTGTCAAGGGAGCAGAAGATGGAGAACATGTGTGCCAGCAGAGCTTTGAGCTCTTGAAATATGCTTGGAGTGATTAGCACTCAAATGGGTGATTAGCAGTCAACAGAGCTAGTGCATTAGTACAGTGCAAAAGGTGGACATGCTTGTTTTGTTGCTGCTACCATCAGAAAGCAGCCCAGGGTTGGTACGTAGTCATGCCTAACAGAAGTCTCTTCTAGTCTCTTGTAGAATGGCAATAAATGTTATAATCCAGGCTCCTGGAGCTATGGACCTGTCCAAGTATGGCTGCCCAGTGTAATGCACTAATTATTATTATGTACCAGGCTTCAAGCACACATTATTGGGGAGGGGGGAGCTATGCCATCTTGGCATGCAGAAACCCATTTTTTGACATGTTTTTCTTATGGAGCTTCATACAACGCTGTTCTTGTGCCACCTTCTGGCTAATATCTGCACTGCTATTTAATATAATTTTTCTGTGTCTACCTTAAAAATAGGTAAGCTGTACCCTCTGAAGATAATGTGATGCCGCCTCTGTGTTATTTTTCAGTGATCAGCAAGCACCGTAAATGGAAACGGCAAAATTCTGCACTCGGTTCAGCGTGGGAAAGTTTAGCCTGCGTGAGTCTAGGTAAATTAGAAATAGGTCACATGCTGAGTTTGTATTTTGACATGCTGCAAGTAACCCACTTGTAGGGTTTTGTGCTCTGATGTGTCTCAAAACTATATTCAGAATATGGAGACTGTTGCTCATGATTTGAAGCTGGTTCATCATGGATTTGAAGTCTGTATAGGATCAATTTTTCTTGGGGTTGCCCCATGCTGAAATTGTTGGGTGAACAAACCTTTATTTTTGCCCCTCGCATCATTTTTTTCACGGGATAACTTGGATCAATCATGGCATGCTCAGAGAATGTGGGTGGCAGTGAATGCTTCTCATAAAGCAGGAGAATGGCCTAAAATCCCCTATGCCTTTTGAAATGACCATCCAGATGGCATCCTGGCATTGACTTTCCAAAACAGCAACGTTGCTCTAGGATTGCTGTTAACTACTGTAACAACCAACAAAGGCTGAATACACATTAACATTTAAAGCAAACAAAAACACAAACACCCCCCTCCAAAAAAATCCTGGGAACTGTAGTTTCACCCTCCCAGAGCTACAATTTCCAACACCTCTAACAAGGTACAGTTCCCAGGATTCTTTTTCTGTGAGGGGCGTGTGCTTTAAATGCCTGGTGAGTACACAGCTACAGTGTCCACTCATAACCAGTTCTCAAGAATGGGCCATTTAATCCACACCTGCATTCAGCGGCCAATGCCAAATGCTTCCATTAAAGCTAATTACATAGTGTAGACTTCTCAGCTTAAAACAAGACCAATAATTAGTTATTCTGAAATGGCTTCCATGTGGTTTAACATCAAACGAGGCAAGTAAACTTAGTGAAGAGTCAGGGTTTTGGGGAAAGGCAGAAAGGCCGGAAAGAGTTTGCGTCATTGCTGCATTATGTACAACAATGCACAATGACTCAAGTATTCTTACAAAATCTGAGGGGTGCCCATTACATGAATCACGCTTAGCTTGACTTCATAAAGAATGCAATCGCATGTACCCTATCAAGCTGCACTTCTATATGCCTATATATCTGGAAACTAATGAATGAGCAGTCACTCTCAGCACTTTATTTCAATTATCCCAGCAGCTGAGCAGTGGTGATTGGCATGGTTGGATTCAGTCAGCCAGCTAGTGTGTGTGTGGTGGGAGGGAGAGATAAATCAAATGCGACATGTAGGTGCTCTGTTTTAATCTCCTGATTCATTGGAATGAAAACTATTATGATTTCAATGACTTTAGAGAACTCAGCAAACCCTGAGAACTTCCTTTTCAGAAGAATGCAATGTTCCCCTGTTCCAACGAGTCTGGAAATAACGATTGCCTTCATTTGTTCAACTTTCCTCCCAACTTACCCTCTTACTGATTTTTCATAACCAATAATAAAGAAAACATGAAGCATAACTCCTTCTCCTGCCAGAAAAATAACAGAAACAATTACCCCCCCCCATGACTGCTCACTTTGATTTCATCCCTCCACCCCTCCCCTCCAAGGCCCTGAGCTTAAATAAACAACTGGACAAATAAATTATCAGAAAATGGGAGAAAAATGGGAAATCATTTCTAAAACTAAAAGCTCGGTTTGATTTGAATATTTTAAAACATTGTTTTTATTAAAGATTTTAAAGTGAATCATGTCAATAAATTCTAGCAACAATCAAAATGGAAACAAGGGAATAAGATACCATGTATTCAACACATAACATGAACACAGCATTTAGAATTATCATTTATAGAAAAGGAAAGATGGAATTCTTGGTTCCATTCTCAACTCCTCGAGGAATGCAACACAGGGAAATGTTTTAATTGCATTGAATAAATCTATGATTCTCCAGTTGGAGTACAGCTGGCTTGTGGAAAACCACATCAAGACACAGTATTTCAGAAGAAACTATGAGATACCTGTGGATTGTGGATAGCGTCATCTGCATGTGGATACAACAAATGGATGGAATCACACAATTGTAGTGTTGGAAGGAACCCTGAGGATCATCTAGTCCAGGCATAGGTAAACTCCGCCCTCCAGATGTTTTGGGACTACAACTCCCATCATCCCTGACCACTGGTCCTGTTAGCTAGGGATGATGGGAGTTGTAGTCCCAAAACATCTGGAGGGTGAGTTTGCCTATGCCTGATCTAGTCCAACCCCCTGCAATGCAGGAATATGCAGCAGTCCCATGTGGGGATCGAACCTGCAACCTTGGTGTTATCAGCACCATGCTCTAACCAGCTGAAGTCCACTGGAGCTACAGTAAATGGTAAGGTGCACACAGCCTAGTTGATTTATTGCTTTTATTTCATCACCCCATAACCAAGGTTTTTCTAGGCGACAAGCAGTTAAAACAGTTTTAGAATCCCAAAATTCCATACACCAACCAAACAGTTTCAGATTTTTCAAACCCATACTTCTAGGTAGTACTCGCAAAGAAAATCAATTTCGGAAGGGAGGGTGTGTGGATCTTAAATTGTTTTTAGAAGAAATTCACATAGTATAGGGACACGATTATTCAGTAACCGTAGCAGAGTTTTTATTAATTTCACTTTTAGAGGATGCAGAGAAGGCTAAACGTTAGTAGGCAGGCACTTATGATCAACTTGGTTGGCTGCACAACGATTTCCTTTCAATTCAGATTTTGTTTGCATTGTGCCAAGAAAGACTTCCAGTCAGGTGGGGTCAGAGGAAGTTTTATTTGGAAATGATTCCAAAACCTTTAAAAATATAAGAAAACAAAGACAGTTACACACAGAAGGACAGTAGCTACATGAAATTTGGATCAACTTATTCACTATGTCCCAGTCCACAGGCTTGGGAACCCTTCATGGACTTGGGGAAAGGATTGTAACTTGGTGAAAAAGCCCATACATGCAAAACATCCTGGGTTCAATCCCCACCATCCATAGCAGGGCTGGGAAAGACTCCCAAGACCTTAGAGAACTGCCAGTTACTGTACACAGCAGGGTTGGCCAATGTGGACCCCTCAATATGTTGTTGAACTACAACTCCCATAATCCATGTCCATTGTCCATGTTATCTGGGGATTATGGGATTTGTAGTCCTACAACTGGATTCAACATATTGGCCACTCCTGATGTACAGTGCAGACAATACAGAGCTCAATGAGCCAATGGCATCTAATCTATATGGCAGCTTCACATGCCTGGTTCCAGGGTGAAGTAGCAACATACGTGGTCATGAGACCACACAGCTTTTCAGTAGCAATTTGTGAACACTTGTTTGTTTGTTTTGTTTTGTTTTTTGCTTAATATTATTATCTTTATTTATATCCTGCATTTTTCCCTGAAAGGAACTCAAAGTGGTTCACAGATAAAATAGAAACAGCTAAGAAGATTGTGTGTGTGTGGAATCATTAAAAAAACAATTAAACATTAACAGAATTTAAAGCTTCTATATGATCTATTAAAACATTCAGATAATTGCAATCTTATCCTTGTGCATAGCACCACTAGGAAGCTGCATGGCTGTATCAGCTCATCTGCTGAAATCAGTTTTGTTTACAGTTGAAGATATTTTGGTAACTTTAGGCTGGCTGCTGTCAAGGTTGGGTTATGGATAGCAACCTCCATCTGGCATGAGAGAAGACTCAGGCCAAGCCATTAGTCAGGACTGTAGAGCAAGTCAAAACCAAAGAATAAACTAGGATCAAGAAGACAGACAGGAGACAGGAGCAAAAGCCAAGCAGGACCAAGGAATACAGAAACATGACAAAGCTCAGGAAGCCCTTGTTGCCGAAGCAGACTTGACTGGACCAGGAAGCCCTCTAAAACTTTTATTCCTGTCTAGAAGGTTCCTATAGCCCACCTAGGTGAGTGCAGTCAGTCCAGTGTCTGAGCATACTGTACTGAACTTTACGGTGTCTCACCAAAAAGGGGCAGCTGGACACAAACCCCAAGGCTCTGAGTTCAAGACTCAGCAGCAGTGTACAAAATGAAGTAACATTTGGTAGAAAATGAATGTTACATTGACAAACGGGATGTACAAACTAGTGTCTAATGACACTAAGAGTCCTTTGTATTTATGAAGGAAAAAAGAATGGAATTCTCAAGACTCACTCTTAACTTATGATTGCTATTAGGTATAGATCCAAGTGTGTTAATTAGAAGTAAATCTGATTAGATTGTTTTGCTATAGGGATTAAATAATTATTGGTTTTGCAAAGAGACAGAATAGATAAATGCATGCTTAAGTAACATGCTTTCTGGACCACGTGATAATTGTTCAGCTGCAGTTCTTTTTAAAAAAATGCTTTGAACATTTCTATCCCTCTCATTGCTTAAAAAAAACGACCCACAAAAATCCATGGACTTTCAAACTTGTATAATAATAGATGCAGTCACAGCTGCTTCTGTATCTTTCACCTTTGGAACTGTTATGAGGGATAAAGTGACTTGTTTCAACACAGGCTTCTGTTCACAACAGAATCCATTTCTTACATTGTATTCTAGAGGCATAAGGAATGGGAAAACTATAATCAATGAGGCTATGCCAGTTGACACCAGCTTAATGATTTACACCTAGAGGTATGCTTTCAAGGAGCAATTTTGAAACAATTCTATATCAAATACTAGTGACTGGCATTAGCATGGCAACAACAGAAACAAATGGGCTTACTGGTGATGATATATGTCAGGGTCACGTTGTAGCCTGATTTGGAATCCTATATACAGATCATCCCAGAGCAATCCATGTTTCACTGTGTGCCTCATTACACTAACTCGGGCTTTTATCTGCAGTGAAAGACAAAGTGCATGAAAATCTGGCATCAATTTTATTTGATACATTAATACAACCAATAGGCAGAATCCAAAGACCACCTTCAGTTCTCATTTTCTTTCTTTCTGTCCTACTGAAAATTCTGAAAGTTCTGCTTCAATTTCAAAGGCAGCTTGCTGTGTGGTGGTGGTGTTGGGGACACTGCTGTTCGTGAAGCACAAGTCCAAAACTCCCTTTGGCACACAAAGCTGGTTGTGTGGCTGTTTGGATGCCAGGCGCTGCTTCTGTTCTGAAAGATGCCCATGATATAATCACATTGTCCTAGTTCATACATATCACTAAGGGAGGCATGGCTTGCTTAGCTTAACTATGGTTTGTTTGAATGCGCAAATCCATCCCAGCAGACAAACCATGATGTGAAGCCATAGTTTGTCGTTGGCTTATGAACCATGGCATGCTTTAACTATGGTTTCACGTTATGTCTGAACCCAACAATGTTGCTTGTGAAGATGCTTCGGAGGCTGCTAAGCACAAGGTTACCACAGCCAGAAAACCAAGCTTTGAAAAAACAAGCCATGGTTTGTTTGCTCATCTATGAGACAACTGATGGTTTGTTGAACAAGCCATGATTAAAGAAATCATGGTTTAGTGTTAATGTGCGAACATAATTAGTATCTAATTCTGCTGCTGTGTTCTGGTGTGAACACAAATAATATCTTCTCATGTTAAAAATGATTAGGCACAACTGTTTTTTACTCTTAGTGGCATCCTGAAATAACAAAGAGAGAATAAGCCGGTTTCTGTCCCTTTTCCTAACACGCCCCCTCAAAATACAGTTGTTGCTGTCTATATGTTTGGCCAGCTAACATTTCTAAGTGCTGGCTGTAACCAAATTGTAGTTCTTGTATGTTTCAAAATTACAAATACATTTCCTAAATTAAAATGAGAAGCTGCCTTGTGACTCTACTCATCAGCGGACATTTTGTGTGGAGTCAGCTAGAGCTAGAAATAGGACTCTTAATGGTCTGGGAGGACACTTTTTAATTGCCATATTGTATTTTCAGAAGGCTTAGTCTCATGCCCTCTGTTTTCCTGCCTTTTCCCATACTCCCTTTCTGCATTTCACTCAGTGCCCTCTTCTCCACTCCGCTTTTTATCTTAGCCTTTGCTCAGGCCTTTTCCAGCAGCTAATGCCATATCCTTGGGGTGGTTCACATTAACCTTAAGATGACAGGAATTTCTCTGCTTGGGTCAAGAACTGAAGCCACAGCAAAACTGAAAGCAGATCCCAACACTGCTGCAAAACTACTGAAAGAAGGCTGAGTGGTGGTATCATAAGCTGAACAAGGGCATGGAAGTGTTGCATAAATAAGCTCAAAGGGATTCATGTCACACAATGAGAACCATGACAATATTTTAACAAACTATATATAAAAAGCATAAGCATTGTACATTCTAAGTGCTAGTGTACTGAGTTAAACACACACAGCTTTATAGTCCTCCCCCAAAATCCCTGTCACCAGAAATAAGTGAGAGTAAATTGTTGTCCTTGGAGGAAATGTCATATTTATATTTCTATATTTGAGAACATGAGAGGATATACATTTGTAATCCTTACTTCCTCAAATGGACAGTCCCGGTTTGGTATTTCTGTTGGAAAGGATAAGTCCAAAAAATCCACTAAGTAGTTGTACCCTCCAGGCAAAGGACTGAAATCATCATCAGTTTCTATTACCTAGTTATGGGATATAAACAACAAGAGGAGGCTGTCATTTCAAACAGATGTTGTGCAATCCCCCAAACTATTTGGTTTTTGCTTGATTCTCCCATTTACTCTTGGTGCTCAACCATGAAGTTCTTCTGAATTCAGTTGTGCTTACTTAGTCACAGGTATGTGACTTTAGGATTGCTGCCTTATATTTAATATATTATGTTTCAATTTCCAACATCTTTGTCCTCTCTGTGTAGTAGTTTATTTGCTTTGACTTTTTTCATCCAACTTTTTATGAGCTGAATTTGAGGCAGGAAGTCATAATTCTTTGAAGAGAAGGGCTCCTTTGCCTCCAAATTTAAAATGAGAATAAAAGAAATTGTCTTGCTGTGTTAGAGAAAAACACACACACAGAGATTTATAGTTCAAGAAGAAATATTGACTGCCACTTAAATATAATTGTCATCTTAATTGGTATATGTACATAAAGTTGGAATTTTTTTAAATAAAATTTTTGGCTATCCCAAAATAAAATTTTAAATGGTTAGCAGCAACTGTATATCCCAAACTGTCACCATCAATTTCATGCATTTGAGAGTGTTGCCTGAAGGAGGGCAAATCACAACTGTTCTTTAAAAAGTGTTTGCTTTTCTTTGCTAAAGCAGTTGAAAACAGATATTCTTGTAGAATTTGTCGCTGAAGTAAACAATATCTTGCATTTGATAAATGCTTGTATAGACCTACTCACCCTTATCACAAGGTTATAGCCTTTAAATCCAGCCCATAGATAATATTCTTTCACCCAGGAAGGATAGAGAAAAATATCATCATCAACTGCGGCTCCAAGAGTGTGTAAGTATGGCTTAAAATCCCATGAATCCTTTAAAATTTTTGTCCCTTCTGGAGGATCAACAATTCCTAAACTAAGAGAGAGAAAATAGACAATTAATAACTGCACTGATTAACTGAGGTCAAAATCCATGCAGAGCATATCTCTCTGATTCACAGAGTGAGTCTAACTGCAGATAAAATGAATAGCCCCACTTTCTATTTCTTATTTATCTGCTGACCCCCAACTTGCAATAATTCAGATGACCCATCCTTCAGTGTTGTGCAAGGTAGCATTTTACACCCATTTACATTTCTCCAGCGGTTTGACTTCACCCCTGGAAGCAAACTCCATTGTCTCGAGACAGACGAATGGCTACTAAACATTTAAGGGCAATCTGGATTCAACTCACAGAAAATTAGCATGGTAGATTTATTCAACACAGATAGAAGAATGACACTTTGACTGTTTGGGGAAAATATTTTGCTAAATTAGCAAGGGACCTAACAAATTGCTGGAATGTTTGAAACCTGCCGCATGGTTCAGCTTATCACTGGAATTTTGAAATCTATAATGGGAAAAGAAGAAGAAGAAGAAGAAGAAGAAGAAGAAGAAGAAGAAGAAGAAGAAGAAGAAGAAGAAGACTGGTCTACTACATGCTGGTGTCACAATAGCCCCTAACTTTGCCTTGTAAGAGCCCTTTCCTTACTGCTCTTCAAAGGCGAATGAGTAGTTTGGGTGCTTGTTAGCCCCATGAAATGGCACAGAGTTCTCAAATTCAATCTCAAGACTTCCTCTCCCTTCTCAACTTTATGAAGATGCTTCTCCTGCCCACACCAGTGAAGCACTTCAACAAAAACTGGTTAACAGATTTATTGGCATTAAACATTCAAAACCTAATTATAGAAATTCAATAAATACTTAATTTGAAGTACATTAGGATTACCTGTCTGTTGGATCTCTGAGCATCCTTGCCAGGTCCAAAATGGCTCCAGGTTTTGGTGTCCATGTTGAAACTTCTTCAGATTTTTTTTTAATTAGTCTGTTCAACTCCTCTGGGTCATTTTTAAGATTTGTTTCTTTGATGTAACTAGGTTAAGGAAAGACACACAACTGGATGTTTCCATAGCACTGGAGACACAAAGTCATGAGTGGAAGGAAAATAGCCACTAGCATTGTTCACTTGTACAAGAGAACAAGATTAAGTGGAAGATAGTTGAAGATAGATGGTGCAGATCTGCACTATACACTTAAAGCACATGACTTTCCCCAAAGAATCATGGGAAGTGTAGTTTCCCCCTTACAGAATCACAGTTTCCAGCATCCTTAACAAACTATAGCTTTATCTCCCACAGTACCTTACTGATGAAGTGGTGTAGCGAGTTCAATAAGGCTATGGAACAGATAAAGAGTCCATCTCTTCAGGTCAGACTGCTTAAAAATTTGTAGTTATCTTCAATAAGAGGATGGAGTTAGGGACAAGTAGTCTGGGATCCAAAACTTTAAAAGCTCAGTGTAATCTTAACCCTACTCAGAGCAAGTTCTTCACTTGGAGCTGTCTGTGGTCCTGCCCTGCCTCACTGCTATCAGACCAGGACAAGACAACCTTGGATTTAGTTTCACTTTTACTGGCAAGCCTCTCCTGCAATGATAAAACAGTTTTTCTACTAGTGGAAGATTTATTCCACATTTAGAAGGCCAATTACCAATCGATAATAAGCCAATACATTCTGTGCCCTGGTGGAAATTATGAGAATAGGTTGGAATGGCACACAGCACTGATTCCAGCATTATTTGATAGTCTGCCTCTTAGGCTTAAATGCTAATCACATTATTAGGAAGGAAAGGGCTAACCACACATTACACAGAAATGCCTATAATAATCCCACCCCCATTAAAAATTCAAAGCAGGCTGCATTTTATTTTATTTATTTATTTGCAAGGGGGAGGGAATAAGAATGGAAAGATTTGTTAATTTCTATTCTCTCACTTTCTTATTTTTCCAGTCTGAAATTCAGTTCTCCACATCTTCCAGCAGTTTGCTTTTAAAATCATCCCAAAAACTCACCAGCATTTCAGTGCAAATTTCCCCTAATAGACACATTTTAACATGCAGTTTCGACTAACGTGCACATTTTTGCAAGCAATTTCCCTTACTATAATGTATTTTTGTATGTTATTTTCACTAATATCTTTATTTTTATGTACACCGTTTGGCTGGAGAAATGCACTGCAAAATTTGGAGGAGAGAAAATCTTGCAGGTTAGCTCCATTTCAGTTCACACATTGCTTCACACATCGTCACTGATCACATTTGTGCAAACTTATTGTGATACAACTGGTGACTAAAGAGTGAACTGGAAGACAGTACCTGTCAGAAGGATGAGCTTCGACAAAATATCCCGCAAAAGGACAGTAGATTTTTGGCTTCAGATCAGTAACCAGCTGGGCCTTGTAATTCAACAGCTTCTTCCTTTCAATTTTAATAAACTGGGCTTTCTTCTCCTCTGAAAAACGAAAGCACTTATTGGACCTATGTTGTGCAATCCGTGGGGGGGGGTGTCTTAATTGTCCCACAAAGATTTTAAGTTATGTTCTTCATTACTAATTATTATTATTGATCACCTCCATCAGCATCACCTTCACACTTGAAGCAGAGCAAGAGAAATCTGGAAGGGCCATCTGTCAAGTGGAAAGAGATCTGGGGAAGAGACTGCACAGAAGATCTCTCTCACTGGTACAGGCACCCCCACCCCCCACTTGCGCACGATCGACTTGCATGCGGCTGCGTATATGCATGGCACCGGGAAATAAATAAATAATTCAATTCTAACCTGAAATGTCAGGAGAGAGCTGGAAAGCCCTTGTGGTTCACAAGGAGACCCTCCCCAGAGGGACATCAGTGAGCCCAAAGTCCAGAAAATAAGACTCCAAGGGCTCAAAAATGGCACACGGAAGCTTTTGCTACTGCCGTGCTACCCCACTCAATACAGCTGTTGGGCAGGAAGATGTATTTACTGCGGCAGGCCTCCCACTTGTGTGCATTTCAGTTAAGTGTGCAGGGTCCCAGAACACCTGTACATGACAACAGACAAGGGGGTATTCCAGGCTTAGGCAAACTCTGGCCCTCCAGATGTTTGCGACTACAGTTCCCATCATCCCTAACTAACAGGACCAGTGTTCAGGGGTGATGGGAATTGTAGTCCCAAACATCTTGAGGGCCAGATTTTGCCTATGCCTGGTTTATGTTGTTGGGTTGATATCTGACAACAAAGAACATGGGTAGGCAAACTAAGGCCCGGGGGCCGGATCTGGCCCAATCGCCTTCTAAATCCGGCCCGCGGACAGTCCGGGAATCAGCATGTTTTTACATGAGTAGAGTGTGTCCTTTTATTTAAAATGCAACTCTGGGTTATTCGTGGGGCATAGGAATTTGTTCATTTATTTTTTTCCAAAGTATAGTCCAGCCCCCCACAAGGTCTGAGGGACAGTGGACCGGCCCCCTGCTGAAAAGGTTTGCTGACCCATGACATAGAAAGAGCTCTTGCTTCTTCTCATGTTTCCTCCATGTTTTTCTTTGAGGCAATTGCACACATTATGTTGCTGTGTGCGCTTGCTAGTTTGTCTCTCAAGAGATAAGTGGGGTGTTTGGTTTGAAATAAAAGTGTTGGCCAATGGGGGCTTCAAAATATTCTGAAAAATGGACACCTTATCTAAAAGATGCCATTGGTTCATTACCAGTGAAATTTCCTCTGCTGTATACCATTGGGAATCCTGACGCTCCACCTGCAAAGTCACTCATCATGAGGTCAACCTTCTCAGGAAGCTTTCCACCATTGGGCCTGGTGCAGTCCACTGTATTCAGAATTTTGTGCCCTATGCAAAGATAAACTCTCAATTAAAATTGTGTCCCAACATCTTCCCAGCAAGACCAGGCCAGAACTGGCTGCTTTTTCAGAGCAAGGTGAAAGGACCATATTTTAGGCACTAGGAGCTTTTGATAGAAACCTGAAGTGTAAAGGAGCAAGAATGGTTTTTCTTTACTTTTGTACAATAATCTGAAGTTACGAATAACCTCAAAGTAGGTCAAAGCTGGAAAATAGAAAAATTGCACTAATCATACAGAGTATCTGAATCATTCCACTTTTTTATTTGAAACACAGTATAAAAAAGTATCAAATGCAACATAGTAATTATTGTTACATTCAGGTACCTTTATATTCAACAATGATGCAAGTATCCATTTCAGGATGAACACCATCCATCAGTATCATAAATCTAAGATTCCTGTCCACCTTAAAAGAAATCAAAGCACATGTTACTATGAATTTTGACATGGACATTTTTATTTATAGAAAACAGGGTCTATGATTGGCTGTAATCCCTTTAAAAAGTTATTGGAATGCAATCTAGAATGGCATCTGTGTGCCGTGGCTCCCTAAGGTGTATATTAGGGGAAATTGCATAAAAACATGCGTATAATAGAATAAATTTGAATAAAATCCTAATCAACTTCCATGAACATGTTGTTGTTGTTGGTTGGTTGGTTGGTTTTTTAAATGCAAGCTTATGTAGAACTGTTGAGAACTGTGTTTAAGATAAGGAGGGATAGAAACCAATAGAAATTGACATTGACAGGTTTACCCATTCTTAATTGCAAGCAACAGTCTGCTGCATGGCTATTTATCCATAAGCATCTTGTTACTATTAAACTTATTGTTAGTAATGCCCCCTCTGGTGTTATTGGTGTTAGTAATGCACCTCCTCCTCCTCATAATACATTTTAGTGGCAGCAAGGATAGGATATTTTTGAGGAACGCTAAGCAGTTCCTTGTGGATCAGATGATAGTGTGGTGATTAGGTCCCCCAGTTGTCTCTGAACTGGTTGGACATGTCCAAGTGGCATGAGGTGGTGAGCTAGTGGCTGCTGCGGGAACCAGCAAATAACACTCATTCATGGCCCCCAACAAGAGTCAACATGAAGCAGAGTCAACTTGAGTCAGGAGTCTTGCTTCATCAGCTCACCTTATATGTTTACATTCCATCTTAGGATATATATGTGGCAACCCAGAAACATATTTCAAACTGCTTTGGTTATTAAGTGATGAGTAGTGGGAGCATTGGGACCTCAATTCTCTAATTCTGTCAATATTGTTGGGCTGGGTGGGTATTAGGCTATATGTCTGAGTCCCTTCTAATTCCCGGATCCAGCAAGTATTCAATTGTTGGAATAACCAGGCCAGTTTCTTGGTAATGGCCCTAAGTGTGAGTTGTTAGGGTAACAAAGGAAGCAGCTATGCTCCAGAGGGCAAATGGGTGGGCTCCCCTCCCTCAACTAGCAAAAACAAGAGTTGAGATGTGAAAGAAAGGGAGGGAGGGAGAGACATTCTTGATTTCTGTTTGAATTCAAGGTTGTGGCTATGGGAGAAGCAAGACCTTCTGGGGTGTTAATGCCGTGAACCGCTCCATCGTAAACTCAGGTTGTATGCGTAAATAAACCCTATAGCCTATAGATACCACAGCCTTGTTAAACAGTACAAATTGAGAGCATTTGCAGATGATTTAGTACTGACGTTACAGGAGCCAGAATCTAGTACCAAAAGGGTTTTAGAACTGATTCAAGAATTTGGTCAGGTTGCAGGATTTAAACTGAACAAGTTAAAAACTAAGGTTTTAGAGAAAAATCTAACACCAATGGAGAGAGAGAGGTTTCAGAATGTGACAGGTTTAACAGTGGTTAAGAAAGTTAAATACCTGGGGATTAACATGACAGCAAAAATGGGAATTTATTTAAAGATAACTATGAAAAATGTTGGGCTGAAGTGAAAAAAGATTTAGAAATTTGGTCAAATTTGAAGCTTTCACTGCTGGGCCGTATTGCTGCGGTAAAAATGAATGTATTGCCTAGAATGTTGTTTTTGTTTCAAACACTGCAAATTGTGGACAAAATAGACTGTTTCAAGAGGTGGCAGAGAGATATTTCCAGATTTGTCTGGCAGGGCAAGAAGCCCAGAATAAAATTTAAAATACTAACAGATGCAAAGGAAAGAGGTGGATTTGCCCTGCCAGACCTTAAACTTTATTATGAATCAGCAGCCTTTTGCTGGTTGAAAGAATGGCTGCTTCTTGAAAACACTGACATTTTGGATCTAGAAGGTTTTAACAATGTATTTGGATGGCATGCATATCTGTGGTATGATAAGGTCAAAGCACATAAAGCATTTAAAAATCACATTGTCAGGAAAGCACTGTTTAATGTTTGGATAAGATACAAGGATTTATTGGAAAATAAAACTCCAAGGTGGCTGTCACCAATGGAAGCGAAAGCCTTGAAAAAGCTCAATATGGAGGTCAAATGGCCGAAATATTGGGAAATTTTGGAACAAGATGGAGACAGACTGAAATTGCAAAGTTTTGAAAAATTAAAAAACAAAGTGCGAGACTGGCTTCATTATTATCAGATAATGGAGGCATACAATTTGGACAAGAAAATTGGCTTCCAAGTGGAAAAATCAAAATTAGAAACAGAACTGTTAGAACCCAAAACTAAGAATTTGTCAAGAATGTATAACTTGCTGCTGAAATGGAACACTCAGGATGAAACGGTGAAATCTGCTATGATTAAATGGGCACAAGACGTTGGACACAACATTATGTTCGCTGACTGGGAACAGTTATGGACCACAGGTATGAAGTTTACGGCATGTAATGCCCTAAGAGAGAATATTATGAAAATGATATACAGGTGGTACATAACCCCAGTTAAGCTTGCAAAAATCTACCATTTGCCTGATAATAAATGTTGGAAATGTAAAGAAACTGAAGGTACATTCTTTCACCTTTGGTGGACGTGCCCAAAGATTAAGGCTTTCTGGGAGATGATATATAATGAATTAAAAAAGGTATTTAAATATACCTTCTTGAAGAAACCAGAGGCCTTCCTCCTGGGCATAGTCGGCCAATCGGTGTTAAAAAAGGATAGAACTTTCTTTATGTATGCCACAACAGCAGCAAGAATACTTATCGCAAAGTATTGGAAGACACAAGATCTACCCACACTGGAGGAATGGCAGATGAAATTGATGGACTATATGGAATTGGCGGAAATGACTGGCAGAATCCGTGACCAGGGAGAAGAGTCGGTGGAAGAAGATTGGAAGAAATTCAAAGATTACTTACAGAAATATTGCAAAATTAATGAATGTTAGAGTGATGTTGGATTGTAATTAAGTGGCTTCTAGCTGTACAGGCTTTAAAGTTATAAATAGATCAAGATTAAGGATTAGGATTAAAAATGTTAAAAGAATGGAAAATTGGTTTTTAATAGGTAAAAATTTAATGTTATATTATATTAAGATTAAGGATTGGGATTAAAAAGGAGGGAAAGGAATTGCTGGACAAACAAATTGAACTGGAATACAAAAGAGGGAGGTATGAGGAGGTCCGGGAAACAAGTAAATGTAAAATTAGTGATGAAAAGATGGAATTGTTTTTAGCAGTTTTTTGTTTTTTCTTTTTGTATTCTGTATTGTGTATTTTTCTTTTTCTTTTTAAATTCTTTTTTTATTATTAATGTGATTCTTTTCATGTGAAACTTTAATAGATATCATTTAAAAAAAAAAAAAAGATACCACAGTCTTCACTGTCTGTCATTCCAAGGAAACTGAACCCTGCATAAGCATTTGGAAGACCTGGAGTCTCAAGCCACTTGGAAATTTGGGTGGTGTGCAAGAATTGTGTGTTAGGGGATTTTTATTTATTTATTTATTTAAAAATATTGTTGCTTACTCATGGTCTGGAAATGTTCTGATTAGAAACTTCTGGATTATTTCCATAGTTTAGAAAGAAAATATAAACTTCAGAAAATGTCAAGACATCAGACCTGTTGCCAAACTCCAAATGGGACAATGTTAATATTGGTCAGCTTTACACCACTCTGTTTGAGGTACCAGAATACAGGCCGTTCTGTCTTCCCAACATAAATGGGCACATCTGGCCTCCTCTCTGCAAGTTTCTTCAATGTAGGGTAACTGGAGAGTAAGAAAAGCAGGAGAGTAGGAAACAAACAAACAAACAAATGACAATAATATATTTATACCCTACCCATCTGGTTGGGTTTCCCCAGCCACTCTGGGCGGCTCCCAACAGAATATTAAAAACAGGATATAACATCAAACATTAAAAACTTCCCTAAACAGGGTTGCCTTCAGATATCTTCTAAAAGTTGTTTGTTTCCTTGACATCTGATAGGTGGGTGTCCACAGGGATGGCGCCACTACCAAGAAGGCCCCCTGCCTGATTCCCTGTAGCTTTATTTCTCTCAGTATGGGAACTGCCAGAAGGCCCTCGGAACTGGATCTCAGTGTCTGGGCTGGACAATGGGGGTGGAGACACTCCTTCAGGTATACTGGGCAGAGGCCAGTTAGGGCTTTAAAGGTCAGCACCAACACTTTGAATTGTGCTCGGAAACGTACTGGGAGCCAATGTAGGTCTTTCAGAACTGGTGTTATATGGTCTTGGTGGCCACTCTCAGTCAATCCTCAAGTCACTTTACTGGGGTGTGCGTCAGCTATATATAGTGAAAGGCACTAAAATAACGGGACCAGGATTCCAGGAGAGTGAGCAAGCCAAGTGAAGCTCACTTCAAGGCCACCCATAGGCATATTGGATTCTGCTTGAATCCAATGCTGTGGCTATGGGAAAAGCAAGGCCTCTTGGGCCATTAATGTTGCAAGCTCCTCCATCACAGGCTCAGGTTGTATATATGTGTAAATAAACCATATATTCTACAGACACCAAGTCTCCACTGCCCCTCATTCCGAAGGAAACTGAACCCTGAGTAAGCGCCTGGAATCCCTGGAATCTCAACCCGCTTGGACTGGGGTGGCAGGCATCAATAACTATGCACAAGAATGGCATGGCTAATGATGTTCTTCCTTCCCTCATAAATGCCATCCAGGAGGCAGAACTTTGGCTTGTCCTACTTATATGCTTCCTTATATGCCTGTGTCACCAGAGCAGAATAGGACAAAGCCATACAGCTTGCACAACACCAGCCCCAGGTAAGAATGCTTAAGATGACAGCATAAGTAATTTCCCCTCTCTTTTTTATCATATGCACAGATACCTGAGATGATCAGAATGCATGTGGCTGATGTAAATTAGATCTGCACGACACAGTCTTTCCAACCAGTCACCAGGAGGCTCATGAAGCAACCACCAGCCGCGTGCAAAAGCAGGGCCAACGAGCCACGGATCGAAGATCATTCTTCTGTCTCCAAGTTTGAGGTCCATACATGCATGAGTTACGTAAGTTACCTAAGAGCAGACAGAAACCCAAGACTGAGATGGATCAGTGTTGTCATGTTCTGTGTGCCTGAAAAGAAAAGAACTGTTTCCTAGTGTGGCTAGCTCAGTAGGTTAGAGCGTGGTGCTGACGATGCCAAGGTTGCAGGTTTGATCCCTGTATGGGGCAGCTGCATATTCTTGCATTGCAGAGAGTTGCACTAGGTGATCCTCAGGGTCCCTTCCTTCTCTACAGTTCTATGATTCTATTATGTCCCCATGGTGCTATTTTGAGAGCGGATGTTAGAGAAGATTTCCGCTTCCTTTCTGCAGAAGAAAATACAGCTTTGCTCTTTGGCTGCTACACCCCAAAACATGCAGCTGGGCAGAGAGTGCCTCTTCCTTTGGCCACCCCCAGAGGAAAAAAAGAGACCAGGTGACCTTGCCCACTGCCAAAAATATTTCCTCTGCTTTGTCTGCTTCCACTGTGCCCCCTCCCCAAAGGTCCACACATACTGCCACTTCTGTTTCATACATTCTGTACCTTTATGTTTACACAAGCACATCCGCTCCTGTTCCCCCACCTCACCGCTTCTGGCTAACACTGAGTAGGGAGGGTGCCCAGTCAGATGGGTAGCTAGCATATCTAAACTTTGTGCAGAGGCCAGAGGCCAAATAGGAACTGCTAAGAGCATTCAGAATTGGTGTGGGTGGGAGACTTGCATTGTGTTGAGATCCTCTTGGAGACACATGAGAAGGCCATGATGAGAATATGTTCCCTTCTTGGGAGGCACACTAAACATAGAGAGACTTCCCCAACCTAGTAATAACAGTAATGATTTTATTATGTCTGATCCACCCATTTGTCTGGGTTTCCCCAGCTGCTCTGGGCGGCTTACAACACATAAAACATTGTAAAACATTAGACATAAATAATTTTCTGATACAGGGCTGCCGTCAGATGTCTTCTAAAAGTCAGATAGTTGTTTATTTCCTTGACATCTGATGGGAAGGTGTTCCACAGGGCAGGAGCCACTACCGAGAAGGCCCTCTGCCTGGTTCCCTGTAACCTCACTTCTTGCAGTGAGGGAACCGCCAGAAGGCCCTCAGAGCTGGACCTCAGTGTCCGGGCTGAAAGGAGGGGGTGGAGATGCTCCTTCAGGTATACAGTGGTACCTCTGGTTGCGAACGGGATCCATTCCGGAGGCCCGTTCGCAACATGAAAAGAACGCAACTCACAGCAGCGAGTCTGCGCGTGCACGGGTTGTGATTTGCCACTTCTGTGCATGCGAGTGATGTCATTTTGCGCTTCTGTGCATGCGCGAGCAGCGAAACCCGGAAGTAACCCTTTCCAGTACTTCCGGGTTGCCGTGGGACATAACCTGAAAAAACGTAACATGAAGCGGATGCAACATGAGGTATGACTGTACTGGGCCGAGGCCAAGTTTCCTTCAGATCTTTTGGACTATAACTCCTATCATCCCTGATCATCAGAATGGATGCTTAATAAAGGCTGGGCATTATCTAAGAACATGTAAGATTTGTGCAAGCAAATCTGAAAGAATGCTGAGTAAACAGGCCACAAACTTAAGGTGTATCCAGAACTTCAGGATTGCTGGAGGAGGATAGGAAGATTACAGAGTGGCTGAATGAATTGTGACAATTTTTACTGTGAAAGATGTTGAGAATGAGAAACTGGTGGTCTCTGGGCCTGTCCTTGCTGAGCATTATTTAGCTGCTAATTCACTTTCCCCCCATTCAGATTAGACCAGACTAGTCTAAACCTGCATGTGTTTGTGTTTGAATTTGTCTCTGGGGAGGAACTTCAATCTTTCCCATTCATACCAGTGAGCATTTTCTTTTGTTTGTCCCTACATTCTGATTTCGATTATGCCAATTAGGTGCTGACAGGGCATGCACACAACTTGTTAAACAACAACAGCAAAAACTTCCCCACCCAAGAAATGTGCAAAAGTACACAATCTGGAAATAGTAAATTTGCTTGTGTAAATTTACTTGTGCAATTTTCTGATTTTGTTGCAGTCTGAGGGATCAAAACACACACACACACACACACACACACACACACACACACATTTTACTGCATTTTTAATTTAATTTTTTTTAAAGGTAAAAAAGAAAAAAATCACAATGTAATAATAGCTTGGAAATGAACTAGACTTGGGAGAAAGAAGCTGTATTTTGTTGTAATTGTCTGTGGGAAAACTCATGAGTTACTCATAGTTTGTTAAACAAACAGTAGTTCAGCACCATGTGCACACTAGGCCATAGAGGCAAGCCCCAGTACATAAAAAGTTTGTGGTTTTTATTTACCTGCACCTCCCCAAAAGCCAGGTCTTCACCCTCTCTGGGTTCTGTATCCCATGGATTTGGAGGATTCAGTTCAACTAGCACCAATCCATTATCTGGACCTGTTTCAACAACTAGGAGGAGAGGAAATAAACCACTGCTTTGCTGTTGCTTCATTCATAACCCCTAAACCTAGACAACACATAGGCACTGATTTTTGGTTTCGTTGCCTGATTCTCAATGAACTGTCTGGTAGGAGGAAAGAGAGAACTCTCTTCCTGTTTACCTGTCTCCCAGATATTCCCTTGGTCTGGTCAAGAGCAAAGCACCTGCCTACATAACAAAATGAGCAAAGTTCCAAGATCTTCTTTGATTGGAGGCTGAAGCTGTTGCTCATCTACCCCTCTGAACATAAAATTCCATGATATATAGCTCTGTCTTTGCTGCACCAGAAGAACCCTGTTCTCTTTCGCTGATGGAACCTGGGCTCAGCCTGTGAGCCATTCAGGACATCATGCGATGGAAATTTTTAGCAGCTATCTGAGTTCTATTAATCAAGCACTAGTCAGTAAATGCTGTGTTTCATTGTCTTTTACAGCAACCGTCATTGCTTTATTTCTCTCTGTTGTACTGCTGAATATATAATTGGAGTTACAACATACACAGTTATATAACTGAGACTGTTGAAAGGCTTGTTTGCCTCCTTCTATACCGTTGGACTATATTGTCTAATTTTGTTTGATGCTACGCTTTGAGCATGATTGCAGGATTGGGACTATTGAAAGGCTTGTTTGCCTCTGTGTTATTGATTACCTTCTCTCATTTTGTTCATACAATATTGACCTGTTTTATTAGTTGTATCTCCACCACATGTTCTCTATTCAAGAACTGTGAAATAATACAGGTTATGAAGATGTTGTTAGAACATTATTAGCCACGTGTTGCCTGTTACTACTTAAGTTTATCCAGGCTATAAAGGCAGGGAAAGGGTAGGGCAGCTCCGAGAAAAGGGTGTGACAATGGGGTTGGGGAGAGAAGCCAGCAAGGGCAGGTTAATATGACCGTTTTAGTCCTCTGGTGACAGGCAGAAGGGAAAGATAAGGAACTGGAGGGGGACAGATGGAAATATCTGGGAGCAAAGGGGGCATTTGCAGTAGTTATTAGTTGGCTGGGGTGGAAAGAAGGTCTAAGGTGTTACCATGAGGGGAGTGATACGTAGTTGGCAAACTGGGGGCAGAACCTCCCTAGTTAGAATTATCCAGAGTTAGGGTTAATAATATACCCTGCCCATCTGGCTGAGTTTCCCCAGCCACTCTGGGTGGCTCCCAATCGAGTGTTAAAAACAATACAGCATTAAATATTAAAAACTTCCCTAAACAGGGCTGCCTTCAGATGTCTTTTAAAGATAGGATAGCTGCTTATTTCCTTCACATCTGAAGGGAGGGCGTTCCACAGGGCGAGCGCCACTCTGTCTGGTTCCCTGTAACCTCACTTCTCGCAATGAGGGAACCGCCAGAATGCCAGCTGTTACCAGTTTTGTTCCATATTTCTAGTTCTTGTCGAACACTTATGAGCCTGTCTTGCTCTATATTTCCAAACCCAGTGGTTGAAATTGTGAATGCCTATGATGGCCTTTTCAGAGAAGTCCTGACAATATTGTGAAATTCCTTCCCCGTGGAAATCCTGCAGATCACTTCTTTTCAACATATTAGATGTTTACTCAAAAATGTTTTACTGTAGGAAAAAAGTTGTTGTTTTGTTTTTTAAAAAATAGCTTTTACCATTTGCCATGCTTGGCTTTTAAAAAACCAATCCAATATCTTACTGTTTTTGACTTGTATGCACAACAGCGAACAAAGTAAGCAATATAAATCAAATCAAACTCTTTAACTTGAGCAAATTGGATTTGTATTTCTATTAAGCCACAGAGCAAGAAAATAACAAAGGTGGCACTGCTATAAAAAGCTGCAGCAGATGTTACATTTTACCTAGTTCATCTTGGCAGAAGCTGTCTGGGGGGTTAACGTATTTCATTGTGCTCACATCCAGCTTCCAGTTATGCTTAGTGCAACGTACACATCTAGGTTAAAAAGTCAACAACAGAAATAACAATGATGGGGTTTTTAAAGTGTAAATTCTTAGAGCAATATTTAGCAACACGAAGCTAGCCAATGAACTCGAATACCATGTTGTTGGGAAAGATGCATTGCACGAAGAGAAGGAAGCAGTTTTAGGATAGAATAATAGTCAGAGTCTGGGTACACACTACCTTTAAAGCACATTTGAAACATGACCTTTCCCTTTGGAGGATTATGGGCTCTAACATTTACCCTTCACAAAAATTACGGTGCCCAGAACTCTTTGAGGGGGAACAATGTGCTTTGAATGTGCTTTGAATATCTCACACAGCCAGAATGCTGGTCCAATTTTATTTATTTATTTCATTTAGGAAATGCTTCTCATGGAACATCTTCAAGTGATTTTTCAATACAGTAATAACATCTATTAAACTTACAAAAATGCAGAGCTGAGAATAAAGCACAATATTGGATTATCCTGGGTCAAATATGTGAGGTATCAGGCTAGAGAACTAGAGAACTTTGTAGTGGAGGCATCAGTGACCAGTCACCATTTCATTCTGACCAAACTCTAGGAATTGCAGGGAAGATATAAAATACTGCACAAGACAAGATGATATGTACATATAAAGTATATGCTACATCTAATATATAATTACATTTTAAAAAAACTGTGGGGAAAGGACCAGCAAGGCAGGACAAGGTAGAAAAGGGGGAAGGGGCTAAGGAAGAAATGGCAGAAATACTGCAAAAACATTTTTATTAACTAGCCACAGAGGCAGATTTAGGAGAGTGCAACCAGTTCAGTCGCACCTTAAAAACCTCCTTAAAGCCATCTGAGCTCATGGCTGTCACCATACCTTGTAGCAATGAAACCCTTAAATTCATGAGAACATAGGACCTCCACAGGGGACACAGCAATTATGCTTTAGAATGGAATGCCAGAGGTGGGAAGGGGAGGCGGTTGCCAATTTTTTGCATCACATAGGGTGCCACTGATATTTGAGACCCCCAGGTCCACTGCTTCCAGCCATATACATCTGAATATGATGGTCTCCTTGATAGAGCTTTTAAATGCTTTAATAAGCATGCATCTCTCTTTGAGCCACCTCTGAACAGGCTCATTGGTGGTGCAGTTCTGTGGAGCTAGGGGGTGATCTTAGAGGACTTGAGGGGAAAGGGGGTGCCCTCTATGGCAACTTGCCTGCTCTGGAACTTCAGTCATCATCATGAAGATCCTTAGCTACACTATTTTTTGTTGTTGCTGCAGAAAATACATTGTTCTCATGGGAAACCCAACCAGATGGGTGGGGTATAAATTATTATTATTATTATTATTATTATTATTATTATTATTATCATGGACTTGAGGGCAAGTGGCCGCCAATGTCTATCTTTAAGATGGACTCATTCCCACTGGGCCAAATCCTGAGACCCATCATCACGAAGGAATAGTGTTTCAAGTTTAACCAATCAGCTTTCCAAAAAACCCAACAACCCAGCATGCTACATAGTTGTCTATCTGAATTCTCAGCATGTCCCATGCTTATCAGTTTATGGGAGTATATTTATTGCAAACAGAAACAGAGAGCGCAAATGGGGCAAAGTCTGGCCTTACTTTTGTGTCAGATCTTCAATATCTTTAATAAACAATCCGCCTTGGTGCTTGCACAAGTTCTTGCATGCACGGAGTGTATCCTTGTCCTTGTACAAGATGTAATTCTTCCCATCCATTTTGTTCTTTAGGAAATTCATCCCTTCCTTGAGTGCAGCCACCTCAGAAGGTGTAAGTGACAGCAGCGTCCTGCTGGTTTGCTCCACACTATTTGAAACCGAATAATGAGCAGTAAGAGATAACAAAACAAGCTTGGGTTTCTCATATCAGAAAACATCTTCAGAATTCATTTTGCTTAACAAATTACATGCCAATATTTATTATTCTCTTTCAAAGACTTGCCCAAACCCCAGGCTGGGATGATTCAGCTGGACCAATGACAAGGAAACAACAGCATTTTTCTTCTCCTGTTTATTTTCGGGTTTAAAGCGTGTGTCTCTTTAAAGGACATCAGGGGTGGGGTTTTTGCATATTTCAGCCATCTCCCTAGTATCTAGAACATGGGTAGGCAAACTAAGGCCCGGGGGCCGGATCCGGCCCAATCGCCTTCTATATCCAGGCCACGGGCGGTCCGGGAATCAGCGTGTTTTTACATGAGTAGAATGTGTCCTTTTATTTAAAATGCATCTCTGGGTTATTTGTGGGGCATAGGAATTCCTTCTTTTTTTTCTTTTTCAAAATATAGTCCGGCCCCCAACAAGGTCTGAGGGACAGCAGACTGGCCCCCTGCTGAAAAAGTTTGCTGACCCCTGATCTAGAAGTAACGTACTCCTGCCCTTTCCATTTTATTTATTCATATATTATTTGTGAAATTTATAACCAACCTTTCCACCAAATGTTCAAGGTGGCTGATAGTAACACATATACTAATCATATACAATAAGCATAACAAAATAACTGTTGTCCCCTCTCCAGATTTGGCGCTTCTAAATTTATTCCCTGATGCCAATAAAGACCTTAAAAATATCGAGTTCATCTCTCATATTTTGATGGCCACAAGGATGTCTATAGCAAGGTCTTGGCAAATGCTTGAGCTAGTAAAGTTGGACTATTAGGTTTGGCAGGTAGCCTTGTTAGGAAAAAAATCCCATAAACTGAAAGTTTACAAGAGGTCCAATAAAAAATACAGCTTTTTTGCAGTCTGGTTTGATTTCACATCTTTTAAGAATAAGGAAATGTATGGACCGATAGTTCCTTCAATTTACACTAATGTATGGATTACATGATAAAAAATCAATAAGAATCAACACACTCATACTTGGTTTCTTCTTTTATTCATATTATTCATATTCGCTCTACGCTGGGCTGCCCTTGAAGCTGTCCCAGAAACTCCAGCGGGTGCAGAATGCTGCAGCGAGGCTCCTCACGGGGTCTCTGCCATGGCAGCATATTCACCCAGTGCTTTTCAAGCTGCACTGGCTCCCGGTGGAGTACAGGGTCAGATTTAAGGTGCTGCTTTTGACCTTTAAAGCCCTTCACGGCCTAGGACCCTCGTACCTACGGGACCGCCTCTCCCGGTATGCGCCACGGAGAGCCTCAAGGTCCATAAATAGCAACACCCTAGTGGTCCCAGGCCCTAAGGAAGTTAGATTGGCTTCAACCAGAGCCAGGGCCTTTTCAACTCTGGCTCCGGCCTGGTGGAACGCTCTGCCTCATGAGACCAGGGCCCTGCAGGATCTGATTTCTTTCCGCAGGGCCTGTAAGACAGAGTTGTTCCGCCTGGCCTTTGGCCTGGAGCCAATTTGATTCCCTCCCCCTCTTTCTTTTTTCCTTTCTCCTCCTGTGATGAGGCTGCCTTTTAATATTTTAATGTTCCATTATTTTAATGTTGTATTTTAATTTTGTTTTTAAGTTGTAATCATTCAACTTGTTTTTATTATTGCTTGTTAGCCGCCCTGAGCCCGGCCTTGGCTGGGGAGGGCGGGGTATAAATAAATTATTATTATTATTATTATTATTTCACATGATAACAAAGCAAGGGAATTAAAACCAACATTTTTCCTGGATCTACCTCACATTCAACATATCAGCAATTATTGTGGTATTTTCCTTTCTATTTTTAAACTTCAAAAATACTCTGCTGTACTTGTGTTCCATGTCTGCATCGATGCTGCCTAATTTTCTCCCCCACCTCAGCTTCTTCTCTCTCTCTTTTTCTTTCTATCGAAACCCATTTGTCACCTGAGAGATTTTTCCAGAAGCCGCCACTGTGACGCCCCAGTAAGTGAGACTTTGGTGAGGGCAACATCTTCCTGTTTCACCTCAGGTGGTGAAACAGAATGGGATTCCCCTCTGATGGCAAGAGATCTTTAAATTAAATATTTTTGTGTGTGACTTGTACAGAAGTAATAAGAGATAGTGGTAAGAGGGTGCAAAAAAGGAGGAGCCCTCTGCCATTAAAAATTCCCGCCTCAAACGGTGAAGGAGTGCTGGAGAACCATTGCAAGTTATTTACCATCTGCAAAAAGATGTTCTATTCATACACTGGAAGGATAAAAATGTGCCCTCCTTCAATTAATGGATATATGACGTGACAACTCTTGCAACCTATGAACAGATCACTTTCAGACAATGATTATGCGTGAACAAATTAAATGATTTTTGGAATGTATTTGTTGAAACCATAGTGACACATGAATCAATGTATACTTGAGGGAAACAATTCATTTATTCATCTACATATATATACTATATAGTTTTGTGACTTTAATTATAATTTATGGTTATTTTGTTATTGCTATTTTCCTCTGCTTTTAAAAATGTTTTTTTTTTCTGTTTCAGCTTTCTTTTTCTATTTTTTTTCTTTCTTTTAAATGTATTTTAACTTACTATAATATCCTCAATTTTATATATAAAAACAGGATGACGTGTACATAAACCTGTATTTTTAGAAGGTATGCAGATGGATTGAGGATAAAACAAAATGTGCTTTGATCTTATCTGATCATTCAACAGGCCACCAGTTTGGGATTGTGCCTGTCTCCTAAGTCATCAGGTCTACCTGTAATCCTTTTCACATTAAGTAGGTTCAACACAACACGCCAACAAAGCGTTTACGGTAACTTAGGGTAATTGTTGCAATTGTTGCAGGATACCCAGGCAGCCAAGCCAAAATTAATGGACTCTGTTATGTGCAGTCAGCTGGGAATACACAGGCTGCAAAATGAGAGAATGAGAGATTCCTGATTGGGGCCAGGTTTGTTCCCACACCTCCCCCCCCCCACTTGTGGGACTTTCCTTGTGCTTGATCAATTCAGTAAAGAATGAGGAAGATCATTAATTTTTGCCGCTGCTGCAACCACACCTGCAATGTTCACATAGGAGTGATGTCCTTCAAGGACATTTTGTGGTCATCGATTAAAACTTCAAAGCTCGGGGGGGCCACTAGGGGTGCATCAGAAGATGGCTGACAATAACATCTTTCCGACCCACACAAGGTAATTTGGAGGCTGTGATGGGAGTAAATAGCCTCCCTACCCCCCCCCAGGATTGTAGGGGGGGGACTGCCCTTGCCTGCTGTGCCCTATACCACCCCCAAATTTGTGGGGATGGGGGCACTAGGCACAATGCCCTCCTGTGGGATTTCGACGCTCTTGGACGCCGTCTCTGATCCGCGCCACTAGCTGCAAGAACTTCAAAAGAAACAATTTGGATGAAGTGAATGCACATATTTCAAGGAAGGAGGGGGAGTAAAGACTGCTAACAGAAGAGATCTCTGATAAAACAAGACGAGTCGGAGGAACAAGTATAAATCATGAGAAGATACGCCAAGACTCGGTATGGCAAAGGGACTGATGGGGGAGGGGGAAAAACTTTCCTTTCTTTCCTTTATGTGATTAAACAAGAATCCCCCCCCCACAAGTCAGAAATGTCGTTTTAAGGACTTAAGCTGTGGATTTAAGGCTGTGTGGAGATAAACTTTCGAACCAAAGCATGTTTTGAGAAGAGCGTGGAATGTATAAGGGCTTTGGAATGACGCAGTTAAAAGTGCCGTCGCCATATTGGGAAGTTCTGTCGGAGGACTTAAGTCTGGGAGGAGAAATAGAGCTGTTTTTATATTGTGGGTGAAACTCCTCAGAGGGACTTAAGAACGACAGTTCTGTAATTAAAGATGGAAAGAGCGATGTTATCTATGAAAGCGATGATATATGGAAACCATCTTGATTTGAGGATTGGAAGAACGGAAAAATTCACACAGGATTATTATTGGTGTTTATCGGCTTAAGGAGACTATCAGAAGAGATCATAAAGAAAAAAGAGAAAATATATGAACAAGATGTGATGTGGAAACAGCAAGATAAGACTGGATAGAATTATGAACTTTGTTTGGACTGATTTGGACATTAACGCAGTAGCAAGAAGATGATCAGAATCCCCCTTCGAATCTTGAAATATGGGTCCCCTCAACAAAATTTAAAATTCGGCTTTGTAATTCGGAATTTATGTGATGTGATTTGATTTGATTTGATTGGCCGGTTAATAAAAATTATTTTAAAAAAAATAAAACTTCAAAGCTCAAAGGAAATGTCTGTCTTGAAAATTAATGTGGCTCAACTAATAATTGTATTTAGCATGTGTGGTTTAAAATATTTTAGGCACTGGGGTTTAAACTCTATTATGAATCAGCCGCATTTTGCTGGCTGAAAGATTGGCTGCTTCTTGAAAACACGGACATTTTGGATCTAGAAGGTTTTAACAATGTTTTTGGATGGCATGCATACTTGTGGTATGACAAGGTCAAAGCACACAAAGCCTTTAAGAACCATATTGTCAGGAAAGCATTGTTTAATGTCTGGGTGAGATATAAGGATTTGTTGGAAAGTAAAACACCAAGGTGGCTGTCACCAATGGAGGCCAAGGCTCTGAAAAAAATTAATATGGAGACAAATTGGCCAAAATATTGTGAAATTTTAGAACAAGATGGAGATAGATTAAAGCTGCAGAGCTTTGACAATTTAAAAATTAAAGTATGAGACTGGCTTCATTATTATCAAATAAGGAGGCTTATAATTTAGATAAGAAAATTGGTTTTCAGGTGGAAAAATCAAAATTGGAAACAGAATTGTTAGATCCTAAAACCAAGAATCTGTCAAGAATGTATAACTTGCTGTTGAAATGGAATACTCAGGATGAAACGGTTAAATCTGTTATGATCAAATGGGCACAAGACGTTGGACATAATATTATGTTTGCTGACTGGGAACAGTTATGGACCACAGGTATTAAGTTTACGGCATGTAATGCCTTAAGAGAAAATATAATGAAAATGATTTATAGGTGGTACTTAACCCCAGTCAAGCTGGCAAAAATTTATCATTTGCCCGATAATAAATGTTGGAAATGTAAAGAGATTGAGGGCACATTTTCACCTTTGGTGGACATGCCCAAGGATCAAGGCCTTCTGGGAGATGATTTATAATGAAATGAAAAAGGTATTTAAGTATACCTTTCAGAAGAAACCAGAGGCCTTCCTTCTGGGCATGGTCGGCCAATCGGTGCGAAGGGAGGTGTAATGAGTATGAGTTACTCGTGCGTAAACTGGTGCCTCTCTAGGCTGATTTGCCTTGTTAAACCTTTCTGACTGCACAGCCCCTTCTGATCAGGACTGTCTCAGTCACTAGCAGAATCCGTCAGTGGGCGTTTCTTGAATCTCTTCCAACATAAGAGCTGTTTGACACCCAATCGCCTCCGCCTCTCACTGCGCGGGAGCCTTCTGCGCAGGGAGGGCGTAGGTAGCGGAGGACCTGTCCCCTCCTCACTGAGTTCCAGTGAAGAGTCCGTGAGCCCTCTCTCCGATTTTCCCATCTGCTCACTTTTGTTCCTGGTGTTGCGCTTAAATGCTTCCCCCTCCACTGAGTCGCCTCTCCCCCTGCTGCTGGGTCCTTCTCCAGCATCATCCAGGAGCCTCCCCTTCGCCTCTCGCTCTGATGTCAGTTCCCTGACATCCACCTCCCCCCCAGAATCCCCTCCACCCCTGGGCCGACCTGTGGGACCAACCGTCCCCTTCGTCGGCCGAGGAGGCGAGGAACCCCGGAAGGAACTGTCACCATCTTCCGTGGGTTCGAAACCCGCTTCCCAATCGCTCTTCCACCTACCAACGGGGTGGTCTTCCCGTCTGATGCTTCTTCCTCCGAAACCTCTCCTCCCTCCTCGGAGTCAGAAAATCCCTCAAAACCTCTTCCTCATCTGTGGTTCCAAATTGCTCCTCCCAGAATCTCTCCAGGGGTTTGGGTTTGTCCGGGAACCGGTGGTGGAATACCTCCACCAGATACCTGTCCTCGACGGCTTCCGTGGGGACCCACGTGTTTTCGGACCTGGGTTCCCCTTCCCACGCTACCAAATACTCCACCCGGCGCCCTTGCCACCTTGAGTCCAGTATTTCCAGTGGCCCTGTGGTGGTGTTCCCTTTCTTCTACCTGCGGGTGTGTGGTGACTTCTCCCTCTTGCCCCTGGAATTCCCGCCCTTCCCTATGCGGTGAAAGCAGGGACCTATGGAAAACCGGGTGTATTTTCATGCTATCAGGCAACCTGAGCTTAAATGCCACGGGATTAACTTGCTGTGTTACCTCAAAAGGTCCCAGCCGTCTGGGCTGCAACTTCTTGCACCCCCCTTTGAAAGGTAGCCCTTGGGTGGACAACCACACCCGGTCCCCCACCCGTATGGTCCCCCTTCCCTGCGGTGCTTGTCTGCCTGCCTCTTGTAAGTTTCCTTGGCCCGCTCCAAGTTCATCTTAAGTTGCTGGTGTAGGGCCTCCATTTCCTCCCCAAACTGCTCTGCGGCGGGTTCGCTCCAGCGTTCCTCCCCACTCCCGGGAAGGCCCTGGGATGACACCCATGGTTGGCCATGAATGGGCTCATTCCCGTGGACACGTGTTCCGCGTTGTTGTACGCGAATTCAGCCAGCGCTAGTTTTTCTACCCAATCGTTCTGCCTCTCGCTGACATAGCAGCGTAGGTATTGCTGGAGTATACTGTTCGCTCTTTCTGCTTGCCCGTTGGTCTCTGGGTGTCTCGCCGTCGAGAAACCCACCTCCACCTGCAGTAAGCTCATGAGTTTCCTCCAGAACCGGGAAGTAAATTGTTTTCCGCGGTCGGAGATAACCCTCAAGGGGCGCCATGCAGCCGGAATATGTGCTCCACAAACAACCGGGCTGTTTCCTCTGCCGTTACAGCATGTGAGCAAGCTATAAAGTGGCACATTTTTGTTAGTAGGTCGACCACTACCATGACTGCTGTCTTTCCCGGGACTTGGGCAAATCTGTCATAAAATCAATGGATACCACCTCCCAGGGTTTCCCGGCGTGGGTAAGGGTTCCAGCAATCCTGTGGGGGCAGCCCGCTCCCCTTTGCCCTTTGGCAGCGGTCGCACCCCGTACATATTCCCGTACATCCTCCCTCACCCTGGGCCACCAGAACTGCCTGGTCACCAGCATCATGGTTTTGTGCTGTCCAAAGTGCCCTGCTGTGGGGTTGTCGTGGAGTTGTTTGAGTACTTTTTCCCTCAGGGTTTCCCCCGGTACGTACAGCGCTCCCCTATAGTACAGTACCCCTTCCTTCTCCTCAAACCCTTCTTGGGTCCCTCTTCCGTCTCGTAGTTCCCGGATTTTAGTTTGCGCGAACACGTCGTTTCTGGTCAGCCCGGCTAGTTCTCGTTTCCCCACCAAAGTTCCCCACACACCCATCGGTCCTCGGGGATCACGTGTCGTTTCTCCGGCGGCCCCTCTCCTTCCAGGTACTCCGGTTTACGCAGAGAGCGTCTGCTCTTACGTTTTCTTCTCCGGGCACGTAGCGGATTTCAAAGAAAAACTTGGAGAACTCCTGTGCCCATCGAATCTGTCTCTGGTTGAGTACTCGTGCGGTTCTCCAGTACTCCAAGTTCTTGTGATCTGTGCAAACCTGGATCTGTTGTTGCGCCCCTATCAGTAGATGACGCCAACGACGAAAGGCCGCGTAGATTGCCAGCAGTTCGCGGTCATACACTGTATAGTTTTGCTCCGACTTGCTCAGTTTTCTGGAGAAAAAGGCACACGGTTTCCATTCCTGCTTTCCCTTCCCTGGCTGCAAAGGACCGCCCCACGGCTCTGTCGGACGCGTCGGTCTCTAGCCTCAGGGGTTTCTCCAGATCTACGTGCAGGAGTTGCTCTTCCGATGCGAACGCCTTCTTCAGTTTTTCGAAGGATTGCTGGGCCTCTTCTGTCCACACAAACTTCTTTTGCTACTGAGACAATCCGTGATTGGCGCTGTCAAGTGGGCGAAGTTCTTGATGAACTTCCTGTAGAAGTTGCTGAACCCTAGGAACCTCTGTACGTCCTTCCGTGTCTTGGGAGCCTTCCACTCCAGCACTGCCTGCACCTTGCTTGGGTCCATCGCTAAGCCTTTGTCAGACAACTTGTACCCCAGAAACTCGACTTCTCTGGCGTGAAACTGACATTTTTCCAGCTTGACCCACAACTGGTGCTTCTGCAGTCGTTGTAACACTTCCCTGACGTCTCTAACATGTTGTTCCTCATTGTCCGAATAAATTAAGACGTCGTCCAAGAAGGCTACGCAGTTCTTGTACAGCAGAGACCCCAACACGTGGTGCATGAAAGCTTGAAAGCAGGCGGAGCCTGACTGTAATCCAAAGGCATAACTAAGTACTCAAAGGCACCTAGGGGTGTGAACATTGTGGTCTTCCATTCGTCCCCCTCCCTCATCCTGATCAAATTGTATGCGCCCCTGAGGTCCAGCTTGGTAAAAATTTTGCCTTTCCTCACTCGCGTTAAAATGTCGTCAATCCTGGGCATTGGGAAGGTCACGGGTTCTGACACCAAATTGACAGCTCTATAGTCCACTACGAGCCTGGGTTTATTTGTGTCCTTTTTGTCCACAAAGAACACCGGACTGCCCCCTACTGCCTTTGATTCTCTTATGAAGCCTCTTTTCAGGTTCTTGTCGATAAATTCTCGCAACTCCTTCATCTCCCTGTCTGACATGGCGTACAGCTTACCCACTGGCAGCTGAGCCCCGGAAGCAAGTTGATCTGGCAGTCAAAGGGCCTATGGGGTGGCAGTCTATCTGCCTCCTTTTCGCTGAAGACCTCCCGCAGATCTGCGTATTGTGGCGGCACCTCCCCTTTCCGCTCCACCGCCATCCCAGCCACCCTGGCCACGGTCATTCTTGGGGCTTCCCCTCCTAGACAGTGTTCCAGGCAGTAAGCTGATCCAAAGGTGACTGTCCTCTGATGCCACGCCACCACTGGATCATGTTGTGCTAGCCAGCTCATCCCTAATATTATTGGGGGTCCTGCTAGCGAGGCGACGTGAAAGGCGATGGTTTCCGAGTGCCTGGACACCCTCATCCTCATTGGCGGGGTTTGGTGTGTCACTTCCCCTCCTAGAAGCTCCCTGCCATCAATGGTGGTCACTTGCAAGGGAAAATCCAAAGGCAGTAAGTGGAGCTGGTGCTCTAATGCAAAGTCCTTGCTGAAGAAATTACATGAGCTGCCTGAATCCAGCATGCCTTTCACCTTGACTGGGTGCCCGTTTGGGAGTTCTAGCACCACTTCGATGGCTATTGCCGCCTTGGGGAGTCTGGTTGGGGCACTTTTACTGGTGGCTGGCTTGGCTGTTGTGCCCCTTGATTGGCAGCCAAGCGTTCTCGTTTCCCTGTTCCTGTTCCTTTACCACCTCCTCCTCACCCCCTGCGGCTCCACCATTCCTTGCCAAGCCTTTCTTTGAGGGCAGGCTCTGGCAAAATGCCCTGGCCGCTGGCAAAGGTAACACCTTTTGGAGGTTTTCCAATCCTTTCCCTCCTTCTTGCGCCCTTCGCTGGTGCTTGAAACTTCCCGCGCGCGCCCCCCATCTATTTCCATTGGCTCTGCTGGCGGGAGGGCTGCCTTGGTATTTCAGGAATGCGGTAGTCATGGCAACGTTGCTCTCTCCCTTCCCGCCTCTCCTGGGCCCGCGCTTCCTGGCGCGCGCCAATCGCAAGCACAGCCTTGGTCAGCTGATCCATCCCCTGTGGGCGGGGTGCGCGGGAAGTTCATCCTTAACCGTTGGGGACAACCCCTCCTCGAATAACATCTGTATGGGTTCGGAGCCCAGTTCCCACCCGAGGCGATGAACTATCATGGCAAAGCGCGACCAGTAGTCCCTGACTGACTGGCTCCCCTGTTTACAGTTCATCAATTCCCGCTTAGTCACACTTTTTGAACATCAGTGGAAAACATCGCGTCCATCGCTTGGAAGAATTTCCTCAGGTCCTGCATGGCGGAATTCTGCGTCGCCATAAGGGGTCTGACCCATTCTCTGGCCCCGTCCTGCAGGTGACCCACAACATATGCCACCCGCGCCGCGTCGTCTTCAAAATCGTTATGCTGCAAGTCCAATGCGTACTCTATTTCCGTTCTAAACGCACTGTATTCTTGCGGCTTCCCCAAACTTGTGCACCAGTCCCGGTACCTTCCTTGCTATGGGGGTGGGTCTGACCTGTGCATCTTGAGACCGCCTTTCGTCCAGCCGTGCCGTCAGAATGGCCACATGCTGCTCCAAATCTCGGTTCCTCTCCTCCAGCGTTTGCCCTCCAGCTGCTCCCCCTTGGGCGCCTGCTTCTCCGGGCTTGCTCATGATGCTGCCTGCCTGCTGCTGCGCACGAGCAACTTTCAGGGACTGACGGATTGCTGTAATGAGTATGAGTTACTCGTGCGTAAACTGGTGCCTCTCTAGGCTGATTTTGCCTTGTTAAACCTTTCTGACTGCACAGCCCCTTCTGATCAGGACTGTCTCAGTCACTAGCAGAATCCGTCAGTGGGCGTTTCTTGAATCTCTTCCAACATAAGAGCTGTTTGACACCCAATCGCCTCCGCCTCTCACTGCGCGGGAGCCTTCTGCGCAGGGTGGGCGTGGGTAGCCGGGGACCTGTCCCCTCCTCACTGAGTTCCAGTGAAGAGTCCGTGAGCCCTCTCTCCGATTTTCCCATCTGCTCACTTTTGTTCCTGGTGTTGCGCTTAAATGCTTCCCCCTCCACTGAGTCGCCTCTCCCCCTGCTGCTGGGTCCTTCTCCAGCATCATCCAGGAGCCTCCCCTTCGCCTCTCGCTCTGATGTCAGTTCCCTGACAGGAGGATAGAACCTTTTTTATGTATGCTACAACAGCAGCAAGAATACTCATCGGAAAGTACTGGAAGACACAAGAATTACCCACCCGAGAAGAATGGCAGACGAAAGTGATGGACTATATGGAATTGGCTGAGATGACTGGCAGAATCCGAGACCAGGGAGAAGGGTCGGTGGAAGAGGTCTGGAAAAAATTTAAAATATATCTTCAAAAGCATTGTAATATTAAAGACTGTTAGAAAGATGTTGGAAAAAGAAAATTAGGCAGTTTTGGTAGATATGGGATAAAGGATTAAGTAAAAATGAGCTGATGAAATTGATGAAACAAAGGATGTTTAATTATAATATTTCAAATTAAAATACGTAAATGAAAATAAGGTTGGAAGGATTTGCTGAAAAAAACGATCTGAACTAGAATACAAAATTGGGAGGTGAGAGGAGGTCAAGGAAATAAGTAAAGGGAAAAAGTTATGTAAAGGTTTAATTTGCTTTTGTTCTATTTTAATTCAATGCTTTTTTATATCTTGCTCTGTTTTTTTATCCTATTTTATTGTCTTTTTTTCTCTTTTTACTTTTTGCTCTGTTATGGCTATGGTTAAATTTATCTTTGTATTTTGTACTGTTTTTTTCTGTTTTTTTTGTAACTTTAAACTCGGAATAAATATCATTTAAAAAAAATATATTTTAGGCACTGGGGGAGGGGATATGGGAAAGCTTTACTGCTGCCTAATGGAGGTGTATTTCAGTATCCTATAGTCTAATGAAATGGGGATCTACTTCCATGTTGCTTTAAATATAGTAAATTGGATATATCAAGTCCATTCCGTTTGTAAACCGTGATTTTCTAAAAATGTTTCCTGACTGCTTCTACTCCATCTGGAGCCTACATAGAAGTGTATCCATGGTAGAACATTTCAATACGTAGCTAAAATTCCACACACCATATGCTAAATACAAGAGCATTTATCATCTCTCTGCATGTGGAAATGGTGCAGGTGGTTTAGGTCAGCCTTGAAAAACTTAAGTTGTACGGTATCTAGATCCTTAACAAGTTAAACAGTCTATATATCTCAACACCCTACAAACTTAATCTAAATTGTTATTTGCTGGAATTATCAAATTACATTCTCCTCCACACAACACATGAATTTTAACACATTTCATGTTATGTGTTCAGCTTTGAAAACATAACAATGTTTGCTCCACTTGTTACAGGGTGAAAACGAAAGCTCCAGCTATTTAAATTATTTTAACTTGTTCAATATATTTTCCTCAGCTGACCAGCTGTGAGAGATGAATTGTTGCTAAGAATTATTGGGAGATACCCAACTTCATTACTTAAGTCCATTAATTTCAATGGTTCTATTCTGGACAAGGCTTAGTTGGATATCACCTGTTATCTTTGTTCTTGGAATTAACTTTCAAATACTAACATGTACATTAAGAAATTCCATTCCATCGCAAACACACATATCCACTGAGAATATAGAGCTATATGCAAAGAAAAGAAATGTATGAATGTGATGCCTTAAAGTAGTTCATTAGGTGATGCCAATGTCTACAATCAAAATGACTGCTATTTCTCAAGTCAGCCTCTGATAAATTACAGAGCCTTTTTGCCCAGCAAGAAATGCATGCCGTTTGTGATTTGTAAGATAGTTTTTGAGGGGAACTTCCTAGATATAATATATACAAAGGTTTTGAATAGAATATATGTTGAATATGTACTATTAAACTATATAGGATCATGACTCAGGTTCAAGACGATATAAATGTACATATCACCTCTTCCCGTAAATGCATGCTTCTTTATTTGTACACAGCTGTTATTTTAATGGAAGAAGCAACCACATGTCTCATGTCATGTAAATGAACTTATGGGGGGGATAACATATAGAATGGATGAGATCCACTCACACATAAGACATAGCAAAGGAACTTTTTTTACATAACATTAAATATGTGCTATAGTCTACAGAAAGTCTACATCTCACATGGCACTCACTGCACAGCATATGTGTTATGCAAATAGTATAATATATATTTGAATAGTTAATACAATATGCTCTTAATTTAATGGTATACAATTGCTACAGTGCTGCTGTTATGCCCTGATGTTAAGATAAATTGTGGAAAACTAAATAAAAAGCGGCAGTTTATTCCAAATATGTCAGCTTTCTCAATCAGTTTCCTTATATATTAAACTTTTTGTACTACTTGTTATTCTGCATATCTCTTGCATTATTTAAAAATAATACATGTTGAAGAATAATTAAGATAGAAATCTTACTTTTTCTCCATAATGGATCAACAGGTTAGAGGAGAGAAATGATGCTGAATCCCTGGCGGCAACAACAACGATGTCATAAATTTTTATTCCGCTTCACAAACATCATAGGCTGGTTCTGGAAGAAGGACCTGTAAACTCCAGTGGGGCCGACACCGTGGAAACTATAAGTTTTGAGAGTTTTACAGCAGCTATAGCAAGGTGGAAAGAAACCTGAGAACTGATTGCTAGAAAATCATTTACTTTTAATAAGGTCGCCAGCAGTTTATATACACAGTGGTGTACATCTAGACATGAAAGTTATGTGCTGGCATATACTGAAAAAAACCTTGCATATGCTTGTGAGGTTCACAGGTGTTGATGCCAGCTGAAAAGGGAATGGCTGAGATCCATGGTAAGAGTGACGGTGGAGGTACGCCCACTATGGAATAAAGAACTGAGAAGATAGTGTGTCACACAAAGTTCACATGGCAACAAGATATGTTTGTCTTATTTAAATCTAGTACTGTGAGAGAGTTGGAAACAGCAATGTTTCTTTGTATCCTTTTTCTTTATCATTTCTTTATCATTTCTTTATCATTTCTTTGTATTTTTAGCGTGCTCTCGAAAGAGCAATGAAAATAAACTCACATAATCCCGTCACCAAAATGGCAGAAGGAAGCAAAAAAACAAAAAGCCATGGGGGGCAAAGGTTCTCCAAAGGGCATTGCCCCAACTCCAGACTAAGAGTCACAAAGAGCAGCAGCTGAAGACGCCACCTCAGGATGTCTGCTCCGACACCAGATGCACAGGTGGTCGAGTATTGACCCCAGAGGGAACCATTATGGCTGCCAGACCTGCTCACATGCAGCGAGCGGAGACGACTGCTGCAGTTGAAGAACCCCATCCCCAGGCAAAGCACTGTTTCCATCGGGAAATGAAAACTGGATTGATCCTTGCCTGAGTGGCTAGTACAACCAGAGGGTTCCTGCTGGGTCTGGCCTCCAAGGCAGGCATCCCCAAACTTGGCCCTCCAGCTGTTTTGGGACTACAATTCCCATCATCCCTGACCACTGGTCCTGTTAGCTAGGGGTGATGGGAGTTGTAGTCCCAAAAGAGCTGGAGGGCCGAGTTTGGGGATGCCTGCTCCAAGGTATTCAAGTGAGCTAGCATTAAATTGACAATCCACTTGTTAGCCTCCTTTTGCTTGGGTGTACCTTCTTTCCTAGCACTGGTCTGCTGAGGGAGCAGAGCACGAGGCTGAGGGAGCCAGAGAAGATCTTTCGAGGGGGGCAGACAGGGGTGCTGAAATGGCCAATCCATGAGCCTTTTCTTCTTCATCTTAGGAAACAGAAAACAGGGTGTTTAGGATCAAGAGGAGCCTTTACAATTTTTTGCCCTAGGGCCCCCTTTCATTTATAGGGAGCCATGACTAATCAAACCTAGAGCTGGACCTCATTATAGAGATACACTATACAGAAAGCCTGGGACTAAAATGGCCGATGAGGCCCGATAAGAAAGATAAACTATATAGCAAGGCTGGGTCTTGAGAGAGCTGAAAGAAAAGGCCAAAAAAGGCAACTCCAGCCTTAAACTGTCATTTCTACCATTAAGCAGTAGACCGATTTGTTCTTTTTAATTTATATTTTATTGATTTTATCTGCAGAAACAAAGAACATAACTTACAACCTAAATAAAAATCTGAACATAACTTGTAACTTATAACTTATGTGGAAATTGCTTGGTTTGGTTGTGTACTTTTTGATGTGTTTTATTTACTGTTTATGACTTTTGTTATGTTTCTAATTATGTAAATCTTTTTATGTGGTAAGCTGCCTTGAGCATACTTTCAACTATGGGAAGGCAGCAGACAGCTATGATGATGATGATGATGATGATGATGAAAATCAGCAGAGGCTGGCAGGACAGCATTGCACACTTGGCTTTCCAAAGCTAAGCATTGCTGCTACTGAGGGAAAGAGAGGGAGCTATGGTTAAGGTGTGGTTTAGGAGGTCAGAATATAGAAAGCTTTGCTTTTGAGACTTCCCGATTTCTTTCACTTGACTTTTACTCTGTTAAATTTCAGGTCCGTTTACAAATAAGTCCAAGGTCCTTTGTTAATTGTTCCGTGTGTGGTGTAGTTAGGGGTAATAAAGTCCAAGGTCCTTTGTTAATTGTTCCGTGTGTGGTGTAGTTAGGGGTAATAATCCTAGGCACAATGACTGCCTGTACAATCACTGGTCAACAACAAATTTGTTGTCTGTGTTTTTTCAGTTGATTTAGGACGAATCTGATGCGCTGAATCCAAAAATCACATTGGTTTTGTTCAATCAGGTCAAGTTTTTGAGCTATGGCCACATGTTGTTTTTTTACGTTTTTGTTCACATGTACGCTTGTGTGGAGCATTTTAGAAGAAGTTGGTGGGGGTAAAATACCATGTCGAATAATTGTTTTGATTGGAAATGATTATTTTAATGACAAGAAGTATTCAGGTCCAATAGTTCTGGGTGATTATGTCGAAAAGGGATCAGTTTGAAATCATAAAACCTCGAAATCTTCCATAAATTGGTGCGGCAAAGCATAAAGTTGCTTACCACGCTTATTTTGGTATTAAACTTGATGACCAGGATAAAGCTTGGGCCCCACACATGGTGTGCAAGGCATGCACCGAGACTCTACGTGGGTGGACCAATGGCAAGTTTATTCCAAATATGTCAGCTTTCTCAATCAGTTTCCTTATATATTAAACTTTTTGTACTACTCGTTATTCTGCATATCTCTTGCATTATTTAAAAATAATACATGTTGAAGAATAATTAAGATAGAAATCTTACTTTTTCTCCATAATGGATCAACAGGTTAGAGGAGAGAAATGATGCTGAATCCCTGGCGGCAAGAACAACGAACAAGCCACAAGCCACAACTGTCGCATGAACCATTTCCTTCTTGTGGAACTCAGCAAGTTTCTCCATATCAAAACAATGTGGATGTACTGCAAACTAAGATACTGGCTTATCCGTTTCTTTGGCTTCCCCCAGATTCTTAGAATGACAACGGAAATAGTACTTCGAAATGTAGAGGAGGGGATGAGATAAAAGCCAGCAGAGCGCTGCACTCCAGTGAAAACATCTCACAGTATTCTCAGATGTGTTTCAGCAGCATTTTTGTTTGAAAAGAAAATTCTAGGTGAAAAACTGGTTATTCATAAAGATGGGCTAAGATTTAAATATAAAAGGTTCTTAAGGCATTGATACATATCATGCGTTGGTGTTCCAAGTCATAAATTTTTATTCCGCTTCACGAACATCATAGGCTGGTTCTGGAAGAAGGACCTGTAAACTCCAGTGGGGCTGACACCGTGGAAACTACAAGTTTTGAGAGTTTTACAGCAGCTATAGCAAGGTGGAAAGAAACCTGAGAATTGATTGCTAGAAAATCATTTACTTTTAATAAGGTCGCCAGCAGTTTAAAGACACAATGGTGTGCATCTAGAAATGAAAGTCATGTACTGGCATATACTGAGAAAAAACTTGCATATGCAGCCTAGGGAGCGGGGCCTGCACTCACTGCCACAGCTTAAGAGGCCTGAGAGAGGTGGTGGTGGTTTTTTATAATTTTATTTTATTTTATTATTTTATTTTTGCTTGGGGTGGGATAAGCATTTAGTCAGTGTGGGGAGTAGTTTAATTTGAGCACTATTGTTTCTTGCTTTGTTTTTATTTTTATTATTCTGTTAAGTTATTATATAGTTTGTATTTTGCATTTAAGGGGAAGGGTCAGGGCTGCCTGGGGGTGGGCCTCAGCCAATAGAATGGCTGGGGCAGGTTCCACAGGGGGGAAGGTATTGGGACACCCGATCTCAGTGATCACGGGCAGGAGGAAGAGTTATGCTAAGACCAGACCATGTCATTACCGAGGAGGCAGGGTTAGTCGTTGTTTGAGGACTATCCCTGCCTCCAGGTCTGGTCCTGACCGGAAGGATACAGGAATCAGCAAGGGAAACCCACATGACCTGAAGGTGTTGTTGTGTAATGCCAGGTCAATAATGAGTAAAACCACTGTCATCCACGACCTGATTGTGGATGGAGGATTTGACCTGGCATGTGTGACAGAGACCTGGTTGGATGAAGCAGATGGGCCTGTCCTTGCCGCTGCTTGCCCACCAGGTTTCTCTTACGCACAGCAACCCAGGTCATTTGGGCGGGGAGGGGGGGTTGCAGTGATTTTTAGGAAGTCATTAGTCTGCACCAGGTGTCCTGTTGGGAAGACCCAGTTTTCTGAGTGCATGTTCTGGAAGTTGGGGAATAGGGGCTGTACAGGATTCCTACTGGTGTACCGACCTCCCCACTGCACCAAGGATTCCCTGCCTGAGCTGCTTCAGGTCGTGGCGGATATGCTCCTAGAGACACCTAGCTTGATTGTCCTGGGGGATTTTAACATCCATGCCGACACGACCTTACAAGGGGCCGCTCGGGGCTGCTCGGGCAGCATATTCACCCAGTGCTTTTCAAGCTGAAGTACAGGGTCAGATTTAAGGTGCTGCTTTTGACCTTTAAAGCCCTTCACGGCCTAGGACCCTCGTACCTACGGGACCGCCTCTCCCGGTATGCCCCACGGAGAGCCTCAAGGTCCATAAATAGCAACACCCTAGTGGTCCTGGGCCCTAAGGAAGTTAGATTGGCTTCAACCAGAGCCAGGGCCTTTTCAACTCTGGCTCCGGCCTGGTGGAACGCTCTGCCTCATGAGACCAGGGCCCTGCAGGATCTGATTTCTTTCCGCAGGGCCTGTAAGACAGAGTTGTTCCGCCTGGCCTTTGGCTTGGAGCCAGTTTGATTCCCTCCCCCTCTTTCTTTTTTCTTTTCCTTCTCCTCCTGCAATGAGGCTACATTTTAATATTTTAATGTTTCATTATTTTAATGTTGTATTTTAATTTTGTTTTAAGTTGTAATCATTCAACTTGTTTTTATTATTGCTTGTTAGCCGCCCTGAGCCCGGCCTTGGCTGGGGAGGGCGGGGTATAAATAAAAAATTATTATTATTATTATTATTATATCACATGATAACAAAGCAAGGGAATTAAAACCAACATTTTTCCTGGATCTACCTCACATTCAACATATCAGCAATTATTGTGGTATTTTCCTTTCTATTTTTAAACTTCAAAAACACTCTGCTGTACTTGTGTTCCATGTCTGCATCGATGCTGCCTAATTTTCTCCCCCACCTCAGCTTCTTCTCTCTCTCTTTTTCTTTCTTATTTTCTTTTGGTAAATTTCCCCTGATTTGAGAATTTCCATAAAAATTACATGGGGGGGGGGGGAAGCAACACATTAACAATAAGAAATATAGCAATAAGAAAAGCAATACAGGTAAAATGACAACAAATTAAACTATTGAAACCCATTTGTCACCTGAGAGATTTTTCCAGAAGCCGCCACTGTGACGCCCCAGTAAGTGAGACTTTGGTGAGGGCAACATCTTCCTGTTTCACCTCAAGTGGTGAAACAGAATGGGATTCCCCTCTGATGGCAAGAGATCTTTAAATTAAATATTTTTGTGTGTGACTTGTACAGAAGTAATAAGAGATAGTGGTAAGAGGGTGCAAAAAAGGAGGAGCCCTCTGCCATTAAAAATTCCCGCCTCAAACAGTGAAGGAGGGCTGGAGAACCATTGCAAGTTATTTTACCATCTGCAAAAAGATGTTCTATTCATACATTGGAAGGATAAAAATGTGCCCTCCTTCAATTAATGGATATATGACGTGACAACTCTTGCAACCTATGAACAGATCACTTTCAGACAATGATTATGCGTGAACAAATTAAATGATTTTTGGAATGTATTTGTTGAAACCATAGTGACACATGAATCAATGTATACTTGAGGGAAACAATTCATTTATTCATCTACATATATATACTATATAGTTTTGTGACTTTAATTATAATTTATGGTTATTTTGTTATTGCTATTTTCCTCTGCGTTTAAAAATGTTTTTTTTCTGTTTCAGCTTTCTTTTTCTATTTTTTCTTTTTTTTCTTTTAAATGTATTTTAACTTACTATAATATCCTCAATTTTATATATAAAAACAGGATGACGTGTACATAAACCTGTATTTTTAGAAGGTATGCAGATGGATTGAGGATAAAACAAAATGTGCTTTGATCTTATCTGATCATTCAACAGGCCACCAGTTTGGGATTGTGCCTGTCTCCTAAGTCATCAGTATCCAGGTCTACCTGTAATCCTGTTCCCATTAAGTAGGTTCAACACAACACGCCAACAAAGCGTTTACGGTAACTTACGGTAATTGTTGCAACTGTTGCAGGATACCCAGGCAGCCAAGCCAAAATTAATGGACTCTGTTATGTGCAGTCAGCTGGGAATACACAGGCTGCAAAATGAGAGATTCCTGACTGGGGCCAGGTTTGTTCCCACACCTTCCCCCCCCACTTGTGGGACTTTCCTTGTGCTTGATCAATTCAGTAAAGAATGAGGAAGATCATTAATTTTTGCCGCTGCTGCAACCACACCTGCAATGTTCACATAGGAGTGATGTCCTTCAAGGACATTTTGTGGTCATCGATTAAAACTTCAAAGCTCGGGGGGGCCACTAGGGGCGCATCAGAAGATGGCTGACAATAACATCTTTCCGACCCACACAAGGTAATTTGGAGGCTGTGATGGGAGTAAATAGCCTCCCTACCCCCCCCCCCCAGGATTGTGGGGGGGGGACTGCCCTTGCCTGCTGTGCCCTATACCACCCCCAAATTTGTGGGGATGGGGGCACTAGGCACAATGCCCTCCTGTGGGATTTCAGCGCTCCTGGACTCTGTCTCTGATCCGCGCCACTAGCTGCAAGAACTTCAAAAGAAACAATTTGGATGAAGCGAATGCACATATTTCAAGGAAGGAGGGGGAGTAAAGACTGCTAACAGAAGAGATCTCTGATAAAACAAGACGAGTCGAAGGAACAAGTATAAATCATGAGAAGATACGCCAAGACTCGGTATGGCAAAGGGACTGATGGAGGAGGGGGAAAAAACTTTCCTTTCTTTCCTTTATGTGATTAAACAAGAATCCCCCCCCCCTCACAAGTCAGAAATGTCGTTTTAAGGACTTAAGCTGTGGATTTAAGGCTGTGTGGAGATAAACTTTCGAACCAAAGCATGTTTTGAGAAGAGCGTGGAATGTATAAGGGCTTTGGAATGACGCAGTTAAAAGTGCCGTCGCCATATTGGGAAGTTCTGTCGGAGGACTTAAGTCTGGGAGGAGAAATAGAGCTGTTTTTATATTGTGGGTGAAACTCCTCAGAGGGACTTAAGAACGACAGTTCTGTAATTAAAGATGGAAAGAGCGATGTTATCTATGAAAGCGATGATATATGGAAACCATCTTGATTTGAGGATTGGAAGAACGGAAAAATTCACACAGGATTATTATTGGTGTTTATCGGCTTAAGGAGACTATCAGAAGAGATCATAAAGAAAAAAGAGAAAATATATGAACAAGATGTGATGTGGAAACAGCAAGATAAGACTGGATAGAATTATGAACTTTGCTTGGACTGATTTGGACATTAACGCAGTAGCAAGAAGATGATCAGAATCCCCCTTCGAATCTTGAAATATGGGTCCCCTCAACAAAATTTAAAATTCGGCTTTGTAATTCAGAATTTATGTGATGTGATTTGATTTGGCCGGTTAATAAAAATTATTTAAAAAAAAATCTTCAAAGCTCAAAGGAAATGTCTTTCTTGAAAATTAATGTGGCTCAACTAATCATTGTATTTAGCATGTGTGGTTTAAAATATTTTAGGCACTGGGGGAGGGGATATGGGAAAGCTTTACTGCTGCCTAATGGAGGTGTATTTCAGTATCCTATAGTCTAATGAAATGGGGATCTACTTCCATGTTGCTTTAAATATAGTAAATTGGATATATCAAGTCCATTCCGTTTGCAAACCGTGAT